GAAAGGTAGAGTTACAGAGAGAGGATAGAGTTACAGAGAGAGGAAAGACTCCCCAAATAGCCACAGTGGCCAGAGCTGGAACTTCTTTCAGGTCTTGCACGTCAGTTCAGGGGCCCAAGGACTTGACTTGGCCCATTCTCTGCTGCTTCCCCAGGCCAGGAGCAGGATGCAGGATGAAAAGTGGAGTGGCCAAGACCCCAGGTGAAAGCTTAGCCTAGTATGCCATGGTGCCAGTCCCCACGGGGTCCTTGATGTCCCACAGTCTAAGGCCCTGGGTGCTGGGTCCTTCGGCAGAGCTTCAGCTCCTCACCGCCTCACGCTGTCCCCAGCAGCTCTGCTCTGAGCTCCGCGGTGCCTTGGCAGGCCCGTCTTTTTCCAAGTGACCACGTGGATGCAGCTTGTCTGGGCCAGGTGGAAATCGACCCGGTGCTGCTGCTTGGTCTCCCGCATGTGTGCAGAGGTGCAGCATGTGGACCGTCCTCCGCTGTGTCCCCAGGCCATTGGAGAGAGCTGGGTCGGCATGGAGCCATCAGGACTCAGGCTGGCGTGTGTGGGGGACTGAGGTGTTGACACTGCAGCCGGTGGCTGAGGCTGCAGTACCAGCCCAGTCTGCCACAGCCAGGTTGTGTTCCCGGCTACAGCTGCATGCAGCTAAGTGCATTCTTTTCCCCGCTTGCGCTTGCCATGCCTGGCCATTCTGGGGCCAGCCGTCTGCAGGCCAGGCCCACGTCTCTTTATAACCCTTCCTGTTTTCTAGCCAATGCTCCTTCCCCCGTCCAGCTGGCAGCATGGGTGGTAATCCCCGAGGGGCTCTCCCCCAGCAGGGGATGGAAAGGCACAGACTGTGGAGTGAGGGGATTCGGTTAGGAGTCCAGCTGTGTGATTTGTGGGGAAAGTTAATGCAAGTACTTCAGCAAGTTCATAGGCAGCGAGGGTGGTGCGTGGGCTCAGAGGTGCAAGGTCAGGTTCCGGGTCAGTGTCTCCCCACTGGGTGCCTTTCACAGCCACTATGGCAAGTGTTCAGGATGAATCACGAATAGGGGGTTTTGTCACCGCTCACTGCATCTGTACCTCACACATTCATCTTTTTTTTTTAAATGGGGAAGTCAGATATACAGAGAGGAGGAGAGGCAGGAAGAAATCATTTCTCTGAAAAAATGATTTGCTTGTTTGTAAGTCAGAACTTCCATCTGCTGGGTCACTCTTTTTTTTTTATTTTAAAGATTTATTTTATTTTTATTGGAAAGGTGGATATACAGAGAGGAGAGACAGAGAGGAAGATCTTCCATCCGATGATTCACTCCCCAAGTGAGCGCAACGGGCCGATGCTATGCCGATCTGAAGCCAGGAGCCTCTTCTGGGTCTCCCATGCGGCTGCAGGGTCCCAAAGCTTTGGGCCGTCCTCGACTGCCTTCCCAGGCCACAGGCAGGGAGCTGGAAGGGAAGCGGGGCTGCCGGGATTAGAACCGGCGCCCGTATGGGATCCCGGGCGTGCAAGGCGAGGACCTTAACCACTGTGCCACTGCGCCGGGCCCTGGGTCACTCCTTAAATAGCTGTCACGACGGCCAGACTTGGGCCAGGCCAAAGCCAAGACCTGGTGCCTCTTCAAGGTCTCCCACGTGGGTGGCAGTTAACCAAGTCCTTGAGCATCTTCTGCTATTCCCTGGCTCTTAACAGGGAGCTGGATCAGAAGTGGGGCAGTTGGGACTCAAGCTGGCATTCCTGTGGGATGTCAGCATTGCAGGCAGCAGCTTTCCCTGCTATGCCGTAGCACTGGCTCCCAAAGAAAATTTTTTTTAAAGAAAAAATTTAGTGTAAAAGCTAGTTATTGTCTTTAATTTCTAAAGATTTATTTATCTTAATTGCAAAGCCAAATATATATATACAGATAGGAGGAAAGACAGAGAGAAAGATCTTGCGTCCGATGATTCACTCCCCAAGTGACCACAGCAGTCAGTGCAACGGCCAATGCTATGCTGATCCAAAGCCAGGATCCAGGAACCTCTTCCGGGTCTCCCAACGGGTGCAGGGTTCCAAGGCTTTGGGCCGTCCTTGACTGCTTTCCCAGGCCATAAGCAGGGAGCTGGATGGGAAGCAAAGCTACTGGGATTAGAACTGGCACCCATATGGGATCCCTTCACATGCAAGGCAAGGACTTTAGCCACTAGGCTATTGCGCCGGGTCCACCAAAACAATTTTAAGAAGTTTTTTAGGGCCCGGTGTGGTAGCCTAGTAGATAATGTCCTTGCCTTGCATGCGCTGGGATCATATGTGGGCACCAGTTCATGTCCTGGCTGCTTCCACTTCCCTTCCAGCTCCCTGCCTGTGGCCTGGGAAAGCAGTCGAGGACGGCTCAAAGCCTTGGGACCCTGTATACCCACATAGGAGGCCCGGAGTAAGCTCCTGGCTCCTGGTTTCAGATCGGCTCAGCCCCCGGCGCTGTGGCTGCTTGGGCAGTCAGCTAGCAGACAGACGGAAGATCTTCCTGTCTGTCTCCTCCTCTCTGTGAATCTGACTTTCCAGTGGAAAAAAAAATCAAATTAAATTTCAAATACTTTCCAACTAAAAATGTTTTGATTTTGATTTTGTTTTGTTTTGTTTTAGTATTTATTTTATTTCAGAGTTACAAAGTGAGAAACACATCTTCCATCCACTAGTTCACTCCCAAATGGTCCTAATGGCAGGAGCTGGCCATTCCGGAGCTGGGAGCTGGGAGCTGGGTCAGCGGGGGACCTGGGACTCGTGCCTATACGGGATGCCAGCACCATAAGCTGAGGATTAGCTTGCTACACTACTGCACTGGCCCTATAAACCTTCCTTTTAATTCTAATTTCTCTTGAACTTTAAAAAAACGAATGTTTGCATAACAGACAGACAGATCTTGGATGCCCACCATAGCTAGGTCGGACCAGGCTGCAGCCAGGAGGAGGCGGGGGCAGGACCCCGAGGACTTGGGCCATCCCCTGCTCCCTCCCAGGGTGTCCGTCAGCTGGAAGGGGCCAGAAGCTGGCTGCCATGCAGTCCAGGGTTCAGGCTCGCAGTGGCATCTTAGCATCCTGCCAGATGCCTGGCCGTCACCTGGAAGTCCTCCCCTCACTGCTCTGCACCGAGTAAGGCCGCCAGGACGGCTGGCCAGGGGGACCTTGCAGAATGCACGTGAAGGTTTGTTTTCAGAATGTCAGAGTTAACTTCTCTTAAACAGAGATAGTCTCCCATATTAGCCTTAGTACAAGCTACGTAATGACTACTTAATAATTACATGAATGAGATGGGCCCGGCATGGTGGCCTAGCAGCTAATGTCCTTGCCTTGCATGCACCGGGATCCCATGTGGGTGCCTGTTCGTGTCCCAACTGCTCCACTTCCCATCCAGCTCCCTGCTTGTGGCCCGGGAAAGCAGTCAAGGACGGCCCAAAGCCTTGGGACCCTGCACCCGTGTGGGAGACCTGGAGGAAGCTCCTGGCTCCTGACTCCGGATCAGCACAACACCGGCCATTGCGGTCACTTGGGTAGTGAATCATCGGATGGAAGAGCTTTCTTTCTCTCTGTCTTTCCTCCTTTCTGATATCTGACTTCCCAATAAAAATAAATAAATCTTAAAAAAATAATAATAATTACATGAATGAGATCCAAGATGAGCAAAATTCCTGATTTGTTCACGTAGCAAAACTTTATTTTGACTGCCACTTTCAACGTACGGTAAGTCTAAACAGATACGAGAGAACTGGTTTCTTCTGGCACCTTTAAAAATTTGGGTCCAGCGCAGTAGCCTAGTGTCTAAAGTCCTCACCTTGCATGCGCCAGGATCCCATATGAGTGCCAGTTCTAATTCTGGCGGCCCCACTTCGCATCCAGCTCCCTGCTTGTGGCCTGGGAGAGCCTGCACCTACATGGGAGACCTGGAAGAAAGGCTTTTGGCTCCTGGCTTTGGATCGACTCGGCACCGGCTATAGTGGTCACGTGGGAGTGAATCAGCAGGTGGAAAATCTCTCTCCTTTCTGTATATCTGCCTTGCCAATAAAAAATAAATTTCTAAAAATCATTTATTGGAGCGGCATGGTGGCTCAACAGGCTATTCCTGTGCCTGCAGCACCAGCATCCGTATGGGCACCACATTCCTTCCAGCTCCCTGCCTGTAGCCTGGGAGAGCAGTGGAGGGCGCCCGAGTCCCTGGGAGCCTGCACCCACGTGGGAGACCCGGAAGAGGCTGCAGGCTTTGGATCAGCTGAGAGACAGAGCTAGCTTTCCATCTGCTGGATCCGTGCAGGCCTGCTGAGCGGGTGCAGGAGCCCTGGAGCCGGGCACAGGAGGGCCGCGACCAGGACCTGGGCACCTGGGGCTGCTTCTAAGCTGGCAACGCCTGGCAGTCCGTTCACTGTCCTGCACAGGGCGTGCTGTCACAGCCCACGACACCGGATGGATGGCGTGTGTCCAGTTCTCGGGGGTCGCTTTTCCCACCTCCCCCTCCGCACTTACTCTAAATCCTTGAACACTGAACTTCTCAAGCGTCTCACGTTGCTCTCATAGCTTCGTGACACAGTTGGTTATAATCATTAATGTTTAATAGAAGAAATGCTTTGTTCCTTGAAGCCAAAATCAGAGTAGCTGGACAGCGTCTGCTGTGCTTAGTCGGACTAGAACCCCGGACTCCTTCACGCAAAGGAGTCGAGTGCAGATGCAGCTTAAAGAGCATTGCAGGTTGTACATGGCCAGCTGTGACCAGGTTCTCAACCTTACAGGCTGGTGTGTGACACAGCTCATGAAGCAGCTGCTTGGGGCGCCTGCAGCCCATCTGGCCCTGCCACTTTGATGGCTGCCTCCCACTCCTGGCTCATGAGGCAGCAGGTGCCTACGCTCTAGCCTGGCTGCCTGCCTGCCTGGCACTCAGACTGGAGCCACAGGCTCCTGGCATTGGCCTGTTGCAGCTCTGGCTCTTGCAGGATGGAAGAGCTCTGTGAGGCGGCCTTTCAAAAAGTTGAGTAACTGTTTGTCTCTTTCAGAAATCAGAGCCGCATTCTCTCAGCAGTGACGCATTAATGAGGAGAGCCGTGTCCCTGGTAACAGACAGCACCTCGACCTTTCTCTCGCAAACCACGTACGCGTTGATTGAAGCCATCACTGAGTATACTAAGGTAGGCCTCCTCTGCGGGCGAGCACTGCGTGTGTGCCCAGGCTGGGCGTGCTGCCTGCCAGCCCGAGGGCCGAGCAGTGGCAGCAGAGCTCGGAGCCACAGAGTGAAATACTGTGTGCCGGAGCTTTACGACAGCGTTTCTAGTCCTGACTGCATCACCAGCGAGTGCTTTGTCAGGGCCTTCGTTGTGAAGTGCAAAGATCTCAGCAGCCCAGTGCATTAAAATAAGCCAGTATGATCTGGTTTACTTAGGGGTCAACCCATCCCAACACCTAGCACCAGAGACATCTCTCCAGCGGAAGTAACAAAATCCCTCTCTCGTACATGTAGTTGACTTGCATTTTCCTATAGCTTTTCCTCCATCTCCGACTTTGCCTTCTCCATACCTTCTGACTTGTAACCAACTTTCCCAAAAAGGACAGGCTTTCTCGGTGAGCCTTCCCGCCCAGTGCCTCACCCCTGTATTCTGTTTGTAGGCCGTTTACACCCTGGTTTCTTTGTACCGACAATACACAAGCTTGCTTGGGAAGATGAACTCGCAGGAGGAGGATGAAGTGTGGCAGGTGATCATAGGAGCCAGAGTGGAGGTGAGCCGGCGGGCAGGCGTGGTGGAGGTGAGCCGGCAGGCAGGCGTGTGTGTCCGCGCTCCCGCCTCGGTGTGGCGCCTCACGCCTGGGGTCTGGCTGGTAACTCCCCTAAAGCTGCCATCGCATGTAAAACCTCTCCACCTACAGATGACTTCAAAACAACAAGAATATTTGAAGCTGGAAACGACCTGGATGACAGCACTCGGTCTCTCCGAGATGGCAGCAGAGGCTGCGTACCAGACGGGTAGGCTGCCAGCTCCGGGCTCCTCGCCCTCTCCCGGGACGCATTTCGGTGGCCTGCGGCCTGTTGTGACTCACACCGCAGAGAAAAGAAGCTCATCAACTTTATTTTTTATAACCCTATTTATTATATATTAAGATGTATTTATTTTTATTCAAAAAGCAAAGTTAGAGACAAGGAGAAAAAGATCTTCCATCCGCTGGATCACTCTCCAAGTGGCTGGTACTGGGCCAGTCCAAGTTCAGGAGCTTCTCCTGGACCGTGGGGTAGGAAGAGGAACAGGCAGGATTCTAGCTGGTGCCTATATGTGAAGAGCTGGGGCTTAACGGCTATCACGCCATAGACCCCTATTTTAAAGAGATTTATTTTGGGGCCTGGTGCAGTGGCTCAGTGCCTAAATGCTCTCCTTGTAAGCATTGGGATCCCATATGGGCACCGGTTCTAATCCTGGCAGCTCTACTTCCCATCTCCCTACTTGTGGCCTGGGAAAGCAGTGGCGGACGGCCCAAAGCCTTGGGACCTGCACCCGCGTGGGAGACCCGGAAGAGTTTCCTAGATCCTGGCTTTGGATCAGCTCAGCTCTGGCCAGTACAGCCACCTGGGGAGTGAACGAGCAGATGGAGGATTTTTCTGTCTCCTCCTCTCTGAATCTGATCCACCTTCCCAATAACTTTTATATATATACATACATATATACATATACACACGTATATATGTATTTTACATTTATTTCTATCAGAAGTTCTGATATACAGAGAGGAGGGTCTTCAGTCCAATGAGTCACTCCCCCACGTGGCCACAATGGCCAGAGCTGATTTGAAGCCAGGAGCTTCTCCTGGTCTCCATGCAGGGTCCCAAGCTCTGGGCCACCTCGACTGCTTTCCCAGGCCACAAGCAGGGAGCTGGATGGGAAGCAGGACTGCCAGGATACAAACTGCCATCCATGTGGGATCCCAGCATGTGTAAGGTGAGGACTTGCGCCACTAGCCTCCCACACTGGGGCCCCCAATAAGTTTTAAAAAATATTTATTTGGAAAGACAAGAGAGATAAGGAAGTCAGGTCATGAATGTGTTGGTTCACTCCTCATGTGGCTGAATAGCTTGTTCTGGGAGCTGCTTCTTGGTCTCTCGTGTGGCTGTGGGAACCTGAGGACTTGAGCCACCCTCTGCTGCTTTCCTGGGCCGTTCAGGGAGCTGGACTACAAGTAGAGAGAAGAGGAGAAAGATCTTCCGTCTGTTCTTACTCCTGAAACGGGCCCAGACAGGAGCCTAGTGCTTCTCCGGGTCTCCTGTGTGGATGTTGGGCCTAGGGACTTGAGCCATCCTCCACTGCTCTCCCAGACCATTAGCAGCAGCCAGATGCAAGTGGAGCAGCTGGGACTCAAACTAGTGCCCCAGTGGGATGCTGGTGCCCAAGGGAGGCAGCACCCACCCCAACCCAGTTGATTAAAGTCACAGAATAACACAGTGGGATGAGATCTGAGCTCATCAACCCATGCAGATGCCATTTTAAAGATCTGAAATGGCAGAGTGGAGGCTGTCAACAGACAGAAACACAAGGGGGGGAGGGAGCAGATTCTGCTGGAAGTATTCTTCAGAGGCTGCCTGTGTCACCATCATCCCATTTGGGTGCCAGGTTGTGTTCTGGCTGCTCCACTTCCAATCCAGCTCCCTGCTTGTAGTGGGGGAAAGCAGCGGAGACCCGGAAAGCTTCCGACCAGCCCAATTCTGGCTGTTGCAGCCATTTAAGGAGTGAGCCAGCAGCTGGAAGATCTTTCTCTAATTCTGGATTCAAGTAAAATAAACCAATCTTTCAAGAATCCAATCAGTTTGGGGAAAGGGGGAAAACATGCAGCAGACTGGAACTGTTAACTCCCGGGAGCACCGGAGTGTGTTCGACTGCCTGTGACACTGGCAGCCTGCCCAGTGCGGTTCCTGTCCTGGCTGCTCCAGCTCTGGTCCCTGCGACTCACACGCTCCTGGCCGTTGGTGGGGTCAACCAGCAGGTAAGGCGATTTCTAATTGGAATAAATTTTAAAACAAAATTAGTAGAGGTGTGAGAAAAGGAAAAAAGCCATAGATTTGAAACAGGAAGCATTTAAAAAGAGAAAACCTGTAAAAGTATTTGGGACTCAGCAGGTGACACAAAGCATCCAAGAAGGGTTCCTGTGCAGCTCGGACTGCTGGGTCTGGAATAACAGGATGACAGGCCAGGTACTGGGGCACCTGCCAACCAGGCAGGACCTCAAGTTCCAAGCTTGTGGGCATTTGGGGAAGAAAACCAGCTGATGACAGAGATCTTTCAGTTAATCTTGGAGCTTGAAAGAAAAAACGGCAGAATCCCAAACAGCACTAAGTTCTGGCAGTGATCACAACAAAAACGGTTACATTTGTTCGCGACACTTCAGATTGTGTTCCTGTGTTCCTGTAATTCTGGCTAACTTTACAGAGGAAGACCTGAAACAAGACGGGAAATTAGAGGAAAAGAAAGTGGGGCTGTGGGGTTTCAGTCCCGTGGTGGTGCGGGTAAAGCTAAGAATGTCTAGTTCTTATCTGAAAGGCGATGATAGGGAACGGAGGGGAGGCAGATTGTCCACCTGTAGTCCACTTCCCAAATGGCCACAAGCTGCACCAATGCCAGGAGCTCCTGGACTCCCTCGTGGGTGCAGAGGCCCGAGGACTTGGGGCATCTTCCACTGCTCGGCCGGGCACATTCGCAGGGAGCTGGATCAGAAATGCAGGTGACAGACTCCCACACAGGTTCTTGCTCCCTAACACATGAGCAGGAGCTTTACTCACTACACTGCCCGAGACATTCAGACCTTTATAAAGACTATGAATGACAGGAAATTTCACTGCAGTAACAAAATATATATTGGGCCTGGTGCGATAATGTAGTGGTTAAAGTCCTCACCTTGCATGCATAGGGCATTTATTTATTTTATATTTATTTTTATGGGAAAGGCAGATATACAGAGAGGAGGAGAGACAGCAAGAAGGATCTTCTGTCTGATGATTCACTCCCCAAGTGACCGCAACGGCTGGTGCTGTGCCAATCTGAAGCCAGGAACCAGGAGCTTCCTCCAGGTCTCCCATGCAGGTGCAGGGTCCCAAGGTCTTGGGCCGTCCTCCACTGCTTTCCCAGGCCACAAGCAGGGAGCTGGATGGTAAGTAGAGCTGCTGGGATTAGAACTAGCACCCATATGGGATCCCGGCGCATTCAGGGCGAGGACTTTAGCTGCTAGGCCACCATGCTGGGCCCAAAAATGCTTTTTTTTTTTTCAAAGGTATAGTCACAGAATCTCCTATCTGCTCTTTCACTCCCAAATGGGCCACAACGGCTGGAGCTAGGTCAGAATGTTCTTCCAGATGTCCCAACACAGGTGCAGGGACCCCAAAAGTTGGGCCATCTGCTTTCCCAGGAGCTGTATTAGAACTGGAACAGGTGCAGAGGCTCAACTTGCTGCAGCCCTGGCCCCACTGGGAGACTTATGGGTTTATGTAAATCTTACAGAAACTGTAAAGGAATTTTAAAAACAAGTTGAAAAATGAAGTTAAAAATCTTATGGGTGGTGGTGGGGAGGGAGGTGCTGCTGTGACACAGTGCCGTTAGCCACCAGCATCCCACACGAGCAGTGGTTCTAGTCTCGGCTTCTCTGCTTCCTGTCTTCTATCACCTCCCTCCTAATGCGTCTGGGAGAACAAGGCCCACGTGCTTAGGCCCCTACTCGCGCTTGGGAAACCCAGCGGGAGTTCCTGGCTCAGGCTGGCCTCGCCCTGGACGGTGACCATGTGCAGACTGAACCGGTGGGTGGGTCTGTCTTTCCTGTTTGTCCTTCTCTGATAGCTCTTTACAAAGCGGGGGCAGGCACAGCCCCGTGGCTTGGCAGGCTAAGCCTCGTGCCCTGGCAGCAGCAACTCATATGGTCTAGTTCTGATCCAGCTCCATGCTGATGGCCTGGGAAAGCAATGGGGAACGTCCAAGTCCTTGTGCCCTGCACCCACATGGGAGACGCAGAGGAAGCTCCTGGACAAGCCCAGCCCCGGTCCCTGTGGCCATTTGGGGAGTCTAAGCACTTCTCACTGGAGCAATCACTAACAAAGGATTGAGCATCCACAAAGAAATACAATTATGAGGGCTGGCGTGGCAGCAGAGTAGGCTAACCCTCCACCTTCCAGTGCCAGCTCCTGTCCCAGATGCTCCAGTGGCAGTCCAGCTCTACCTGTGACCTGGGAGGCCAATAGAGCATGCCCCAAGCAAGGCTGCATGCCCCTTCACTCAAGTGGGAGGACCAGGAAGAAGATCCTGGCTTCAGAGCACGTCAGCTCAGTAAGCTCCAGCTAGTGCAGCCATCTGGGGAGTGAACCAGCAGAGAACAAATTTATTTTTCAGGCCCAGCACGATGACTCAACGGCTGGTCCATACCTTGAGGGGCCAGGGCTCCATGTGCGTGGGTGCCAGTTCATGTCCCACCTGCTCTACTTCCCATCCAGCTCCCTGCTTGTGGCCTGGGAAAGCAGTGGAGGACAACTCAAAGCCTTGGGAACCTGCACCCGCGTGGGAGACCTGGAAGAGACTCCTGGCTTCGGATCAGCTCAGCTCAGCTGTTGTGGCCACTTGAGGAGGCTCTTTTGTCCACTGGCTCACCACTCCCCTAATTCTGACTTTCCAATAAAAAAAACTTCAGGGGCCTAGTGCGGTAGCCTACCAGTTTAAGTCCTCACCTTGAACACGCCAGGATCCCTTATAGGTGCCAGTTTTAATCCCGGCAGCTCCTGCTTGTAGCCTGGGAAAGTAGTTGAGGACGGCCCAAAGCCTTGGGACCCTGCACCCACAAGGGAGGCCCAGAGGAAGCTGGGGGGGGCGACAGCTCCAACTGTTGGGGTCACTTGAGGAGTGAATGATCAGACAGAAGATCTTCCTGTCTCCTCTCTGTATATCTGACTTTCCAGTAAAAAAATCTTTAAAAAAAAAACCTTTCTAATAAAAATTTTAAAAAATATTACTATGAATAGAGGATTTTCTTAATTTAAAAAATGTGACTTACACAAGACCACTGTCAAGGTCAGAAATAAAGAGTGGGCCCAGCATGGTGGCCTAGTGGGTTAAGGCCCTGGGAACGGCCTCCCCTCCCGTCCAGCCCTGTGATGCTCCTGGGGAGCCTGGGTGGAGCCTCGTGGGCCAGAGCGCCAGATAGGAAACTCCTCTCGCTCCCTCTGCGCTAACGCTTCCTTCCTGACAAATCTTTGAGGGAACAATTTAAAATGAATTCCCTGCCCGGCTACATCACACCTTACAGCAGGCGGGGAGGGCAGTGTGTCCCGGCGCAGCAGCCTAGTGGCTAAAGTCTTGGACTTGCATCTCATAGGGCGCCAGTTCATATCCCCATTTTCCTAAGCTCCTGCTTGTGGCCTGGAAAGCAGTCGGGGACGGCCCAAAGCCTTGGGACCCTGCACCCATGTGGGAGACCCGGAAGAGGCTCCTGGCTTCGGATCAGCTCAGCTCCAACTCATGTCCAGCTGTTGCCGTCAGCAGGGGAGTGCAGCAGACGGAAGACCTTTCTTTGTCTCTTTTTATCTGTAAATCTGACTTGCCAATAAAAAATCTTAAAAGAAAAAAACCCTGCAACCGGGAGGATAATCACAAAAGAATGCTCAATAAAATACTCGTGCACATATATGTAAATTGTGGAAATAATGGCGGCCAGTTGGTTTTGAAGGACAGAACAGGCAGGGCTCCACAAGGCCGCCAAGGCTGGAGCCGGGCCCGTCCGAGGCCGGGAGCTGCTTGCGGGGCCCACCTCTGCTGTCTGCCCCGGCCATGAGCAGGGAGCTGGTCCAGAGTGGATAGCTGGAACCGGAACTGGCGCCCTAAGGGATGCCAGCGCCACGGGCAGCAGCTTTAGTGGCTGTGCCACAGTGCTGGCCCCATGCACATTGTCACAAACTGACCCCGAGAGACAGCCCCGTTTCCTGGTGTCAGCACATACCTTCTGCGCAGGCGCAGCCCTCAGCACGCTCTCTTCTCTCGGCAGGAGCAGACCAGGCCTCCGTCACCGCCAGAAGTCACATCCAGCTGGTCAAGTCGCAGGTGCAGGAGGTGCGCCAGCTCTCCCAGAAAGCAGAGACCAAGCTGGCCGAAGCGCAGACCCAGGAGCTGCGACAGAAAGCCCAGGAGGAAGGGGACGAGGGCAGCGAGCCCGAGCAGGAGGCCTACCTACGCGAGGACTGAGGCTGTGCCTGCTGCCCTGACGGCCACGCACAGGGGACAGCGGGGTGTGGCCAGGGGCCTCGGCACTCCCAGCATGCCTTGCTGGAGGTTGGTGCCCTGTTAACCCAGAACCGCAGTCCGCACAGTTGACCTCTGACCTCACACATGAAGTGCTGACCTTGGCCAGGGGACTCTGTTCTGCCCCACGTTCAGTAGCTGTTCTTAGATTTTCCAAATGATTTTGCACTGCCGCTCACCAGGACTGAGTGGGGCACGGGCGGCTGGCAGGTCCGTGAGCGAGCAGTGCCACGCCGGGCTGAGTGGCCCTGGCAGTGCCCGGTGCTCGCGGCAGCACAGCCTTGGACACACACACCTGTTTTTCTTCTTTCCAAGTTTCTGTTCTATCCAAAAGAGAAAAAAGTTTTTGCATTTCACAAAGAAAATGTGTGTGTGTCTGACCTGCCGTCGCACACCCCGCGCGGAGCGCCCCTGGGACCCGGCAGCACCCACGCTCCTCGGTAACGGGCGGGGCACGTTGACCAGCTCACTGGACTTTGATGGACGGCGACAGGGCGGGCGAGTTACAGAAGGGCCGTCCCTTCCCACAGACCGGCAGGAGCCAGCTCTCCCACGGGAAGCCCGTCAGGGACGGGGCGGGAAGGCGGCTGCGCAGGGCAGCCCCGGGTGGGTCACCGCCGCCCACAGCGTCCACAGCTCCCGCGGGCCGAGGCGGTGCAGCAGCAGGAGCCCCCTGACCAGGCACGGCTCCAAGGGGGCCAGGGGCCGCCGGATCCCAAACGTCCTGAAGCCCGCGTGGTGGGTGGGGCTGAGGCCCAGCCCACGCAGGCACATGCCCACGAAGACGTCGTCGATGGGGAAGAGCTCCGTGGCCTCCACAGCCGCCCGCAGGCGCCGCACGGTGGCCCTGGACATGACGTAGCCTCCGCCCCCCGCGTAGGGCGGGTAGTGGCGGGCCCGGTACATGGAAGGCGGGATGAAGTACTTGACCTTGGTGTTCCTGTTGGGCCGGGCCTGGCGGATAACATCTCCAACCAGGAGGTCCTGGGCCGGGTCGCGGCCCTCCAGGAACTCCAGCACGTTGGGGACGTGGACAAAGACATCGTCGTCCCCCTTGAGCACGAAGCGGGCCTGGGGACAGGCGGCGGCCAGCCAGCGCTGCAGGTGCAGCTCCTTGAGCGTCAGGTTGAAGAAGTCCTCGGCGAAGTCCCACTGAAGGATGTCCCCGAACTGCGCGCTCTCGTAGGCCAGCAGCAGGGCCAGGGCAGCGGGGCGCGCCACCCCAAGCAGGAACACGAGCTTCAGCTGCCGGCCCCGCGCCCAGGCCCCCGCCCGGCCCCACGTGCCGCGGATGGCCGCGCGCCGCTCCACGTGGCCCGGCTGGGACTTGATGGCCAGGAGCAGGAAGAGGTCCCCCGCACACCCTACAGGTTGCAGCAAAGTGGAGAAGTTCCGGCAGTGGCGATAGGTCAGGAAAAGGCGATGCCGGCCAGGCAGGGCCAGGGAGACGTCAGCTGCCGTGTGGTTAGGTGGGCACTGACTGCGGTGGGCCCCTGGGGGAGCCCAGAAAGGCTGGTGGCCCGCAGGGGTCCCCCGCGGCGCAGCCTCCCTCTTCAGGAGGAGCAGGGAGCCGAGCAGCAGCAACGCCAGGCCGGACAGGAGCAGCCAGCTCGGCCCGCGCATGGCCCCGGCCTGCAGGAGAGCGCACGTCAGCGGGCCTGCCCCGCAGCACACCTGAGCCCCGCAGCACACCTGAGCCCCGCAGCACACCTGAGCCCCTGCTCCGCCGCGTCGCCCCCACACAGCCTGCAGCTGCTTGAAAGCGCACACCAGAGGAAACCTGAGTAGCTTCAATTTTGCAAATGGCAGGCTTAGTTTAGCTTTGGGCCAGACTCCAAGCTCAGATCCTGATAAAGAGCTCTTCCACCAAAAGCAAAAGCACTTTGCGAGTGGGTGAATGGCGCAGGGGGGGCCTGTGGCATGGGCCTCCTCAACACGCAGTCCCAGCTGCTCCATTCCACCCCAGCTCCTGCCGGCGCAGCTGGGAAGCAGCAGATGGCTCCAGCGCTTGGGCCCCCGCATTCATGCGAGATTCAGAAGCTCCTGGCCCAGCCCTGCTTGTTGCTGCCCTTTGCAACTGATAAACGAATCTTTTTATTTATTTATTGGATAAACAGGTTTACAGAAAGATCTTCCAACCGCTGGTTCACTCCCCAAGTAGCCACACAGCCAGAGCTGAGCCAATCCAAAACCAGGAACCTCTTCCTGGTCTCCCACACGGATGCAGGGTCCCAAAGCTTTGGGCCATCCTCGACTGCTTTCCCAGGCCACAGGCAGGGAGCTGGATGGGAAGTGGAGCTGCCGGGATTAGAACCGGTACCCATAGGCGATGCCAGCACTTGCAGGATCAGCCAATTGAGCCACTGTCCCAGCCAGCTAAGTCAATCCGTTTTGTTTTGAAGATACCACCTGAGCTACCCACACTGCACACTGAGGGCTGACGGCCCCCCACAGCACACCGGGACGCGGCCCCTGACCCGGCGCTGGCCCCTGGGAGCGAACCACGAGGCTTCAGCTTTCAGATAAAGTCAAACTATCTCAGAAAAACTCGGCCCAACGCGGCAGGCCGTGCGGGGTGTCCCCAGTGAGGGAGGCAGGGTTCCCTGAACCCGGGGGCGAACACGCCCCTCCCTGGACGCCCTGTGGATTCCCGGGGGCTTAGGCGGGCGGCTCCACACCCCGAAGCTGCAGCCTTGGGCTTGGGGGGCCCCTCCGGCTCACCTTACTGAGTCCGCACTTCTAAGTCTCCCAGGACCCAGGTGGAGGTGCGGACACGCGTCCACGGGGTGTCCACCCGGCCCACGGCCGCAAAGCCGGCCTCCCCCTCCACCAGCGCGAGGCCCGGGGCCCACCGTCCTCGCCCACTCACCTGGACCGGCGCGTGGACACCGAGGGCGCGCTGGGCCGGGAGGCCTTCAGCGGCCCCAGCCTGAATCCCGGCCTCGGAGCAGGAACCGGGGACGCAGAGGGCGGCAGGGCGGGGAGCGGGTCGGGCGCGGGCTTGGCCGGCGTCCCCGCGAGACTGCAGGCCTGGGACGTGGACCCGGCGCGCGAGGCACGGGGGCCGGCCCTGCCCGGGGCGCCTCGGCCCGGCTGCGCCCCCCGCCCGCCGCCCGCGGAGCCCTTCCCCGCCTGCACGACCCCTGTGGGCTCGGGGCGGAGGGTCGCCCGCGGCGAGGGGGTCGGGGTCCGCGTCTCGGCCGCCTGGGTCGCTGAGCCCGGCCGGCAGCGCGGCGCCTCGGGCCGCGGGCGTGAGAGCAGCTCGCCCCGCACCTGGGCGCGCACCTGGGCGCACTGCGTCGGCCGGGCGGGCTGCCCGTCGCCCGCCCTCCCGTCCGCCCCGCCCTCCCGTCCGCCCGCCCTCCCGTCCGCCCGCCCGCCCGTCGCCCGCCCGCCCGTCCGCCCGCCCCCCCGTCCGCCCGCCCTCCCCTCCCCGTCCGCCCCGCCCCTCCCCGTCCGCCCCGCCCCTCCCCGTCCGCCCCGCCCCTCCCTCCCCGCCCCTCCCCGTCCGCCCCGCCCGCCGCCCCGCCCGCCCGCCCGCCCGCCCGCCCCGCCCCGTCCGCCCCGCCCCCGCAAGCAGACGCCAGGCTCGGGCGGCGGGCGCCTTTACTCGGGCGCGTCGAGGGCGCGCAGCGCGTCGGCCGCCGAGCGGCACTGGCTCAGCTGCAGCTGCAGCTCCACCGTCAGCGGCTCGGGCTGGTACTGGCTCTCGCCGAGCGGGGCCGCGGCCTTCAGCTTCTCTGAGGAGGGAGAAGCGCGCTGAGAGCCGAGGCCCGGGAGCTGGACGGGCTGGCTGCCCCGGGAGGGCGCGCGGTGGCCTCGAACCCCTCAGTCCCTCCGGGCTGCTCAGCACCGGCTTCACCGAGGCCGCGGCTGGCCACGCGGCCCCGTCCCCCCACACGCACCGCCGCGCGCAGCCGGCTTCGTGCCCCGTTAAACTTCTCTTGGATTGCGCGTTGCTTTCTCCCTTGGACCACGGTTGACTCAGAATTGTTACTCACTTCCCAAACTTGGGGGAATTTCCTAAAAGCTTCCAGTTCGCGGATGATAATTAATTCCTTCCACGCTGTCCGTGGAGGGCCAGTGCGCCATGCTCGGGGCTCGGGGCTCAGCTGCCCAGCCGCGCTCCCCTCAACTTTTCTGGCAGGTCACTGCCCTGGCCCGCCGGGGTCAGGCCGCCTGGCACGGCCGTTTCCCTCCTACCCCTTCTCTAACATTTGCCCGCCAGTTCCAGCCCGCGTCTTCAGAATCTGCTCTGATGGAAGAACGCCCCTCTGCCGGCAGCCGCACATCCACTCCGTGTGCCAGCTCTGCCCGCCCGGGGCCAGAAGGCACCTCCCTCCACGCCTTTGGCCCCAGGTCCAGCCCTGCCCGCCCTGCCCGCGCCGACACCCACACTCACCCTTCTTGATGACTTTCTTAGCCTTCTTGGAGTCCTGCCAAAGAACAGGAAACAAGGGGTTTCCTGGAGCGGGGTGGGGGCTGGTGGGGGGTGGCTTCCTGCAGGGGCATCTTGGTGAGGAGTGGGTCCTGGCCCCTGCTGCACCCCTTCCCCGCCCTGGGGCGCCTCTACCTTACCCTGGCGAATGTGAGCTTGTCAGACTCGGCGGTGCGTAGCACCCCGAAGTTGCACACAGTGGTCACCAGGGCCTCCCCGGCCAGCAGGGGCTCGAGTGGCACGAGGCAGCTGCCCAGCACGCGTGGCACGGGCGGGTCCTGGCGCAGCTCCCTGGAGGAATCCTTCCTCTTCTTGGAGCCCCTCCGCTCCTGGGGGCAGGGCCGGGTGAGGGCAGGCCAGTGCCCGGTGCCCGCCATGCTGGGCCCCGCCCGCTGGTACCTTGGAAGGTTCCTTCTCGGCCTTGTCTCTCTTCTCTTTCTCCTTCTTCCCCTTCTTGGCAAGCAAGGGGCTGTCCGCAGAGGGCGACGCCAAGGGCCAGGACAGGATCTGAGGGACAGGGCGCGGTGTGGCTGCGGCGGCCCAGCCCTGATCGCCTCCCCAGGGAGTGGGGCTTGGGGGTGCCCTGGGCCCACCTTCTCCTCCATGACGGTCACCGTGGTGCCCGCCAGCAGGAAGGCCTTGAGCGGCACCAGGCCTTTCACGGTGTGCTGCATCTCGTAGCCGCAGGAAATGACCTCGGCCCAGGGCTTGCGGGCCGTGCTGAACAGGACGGTCCTGGCGGGCGGGGCAGACCCAGGCCGGCATCTCAGCGGACCCAGGCATGGCAAGAGACCCCAGGCAGGACGAGGGAGCCGGGGCCCTCCTGCAGCGGCGGAACTACAACTTTCACAGGAAGATGTTACAACTTTCACAGAGTGGCTGCAAGTCCCCTGACTTGCACAGAGCTACCCCCGCCCCCAGGGGTGGGCTAGGTCGCCAGGGAGAGAAGCCAACATTTCCAAAGAGCCACGTACAAGAGAGCCGGGCGGCAGGGGGCGCTGTGGCACAGCGGGTTAAGCCCCCACCCCAGCTCTCGGCTCCGGGTTGAGTCCAGGGCTGGGAGGCAGAGCTGAGGACCCTGCACCCACGTGGGACCCTCGAATGGAATTCCAGGCTTCTGCCTGCAGCCTGGCCCAACCTGGGCTGTGGCAGCCACCTCGGGTGGGTGGGCAAGGGGGAAACCAGTGGCTGGAAGATGTCCCTCTGTCACTCTGCCTTTCAAAGTATTTTCTAAATAGAGAATTTATTTTTTTTAAAAAAACATATGGGATGAATTAGATGCGTGGAATGAGACACTTCTTAGAAAACTGTTCTAATATTGAAAGTGGTAAAATTACTTGTGACTCAGCTTTTTAAATTAAACTTTTCTCAAACTGAAAAACCACAAACAGGTCCTTGCCACACCGCTTCCCCGCCCCGCCCACACCAGCCTCTCAGTTCCCTGGCTCCGCCCCAGAGGAGCTGCAGCCCTGGGATGGGGGAGACCCTGACAGGCTGGCACCCGGACTCTCAGCTGGGACTTACCCTCTGGAACACACACAGGGCCTGCAGCGGGGAACCCAGCAAAGAGAGCCCCGAAACAGAGAGCCCGAGTTCCCACTGACACAGGCCCCGGGAGCAGCCGCCGTGGGCCGGTCCTGCCTCCCACATGGAGCGTGGGATCAAACTCCTGCTTCTGGCAGGGCTCAGCCGTGGCCACGGCAGACACTTGGGGCAAAGGCCGGGCAATGAGAGATCTATGTGTTTCTTCCTCTCTGCGTCTCAAAAATTCCAAAAACTTTGTGCAAACATGTAATTTTAAAACAACACATTTTACATGGATTTTTAAAAACAATTCTTTAGGGGCCAGCACAGTGGGGTAGCAAGCTAATCCTCCACCTGTGGTGCCACCATACCATATGGGCACAAGTTTGTGTCCCGGCTGCTCCACTTCCCATCCAGCTCCCTGCTTGTCAAGGTTGAAAGCAGTCACGGATGACGCAAAGCCTTGGGACCCTGCACCCACGAGGGAGACCTGGAAAAAGCTTCTGGCTCCTGGTCTCGGATCAGCTCAGCTCTGGTCATTGCAACCACCTAGGGAGTGAGCCAGCAGATGGAAGATCTGTCTCTCTCTCTGCAAACTCTACTTTTCAACTAACTAAATACATGTTTAAAAATAAACCCAGAAGTTCCTGGACTGCAGTGG